AATAGTCAAAGGCTACAATTTCGAAGCTGGTAATGCCTCTTCCTTTAGGAAGGGTCCTATAAGATCAATCTACCACTTAAGAAAAAGGTCAAGGGCTAGAGACAACACTTAGTTTTTAGGAAGGTTATCTTTGTATTATCACAAAACGTTGACATTTGTCACACTTTCTTTCAAACTGCTGTGCATTCTTTTTCAATGTAGGCCAATAGTATCCCTGCCTCAGTACCTTTTTTGCTAAAGCCCATCATCTTTTCTGCTCACCACCTATGCATCGGAGTAGGGGTAGGGAGAAACCTCGCTTATGCAACACATTATTCTAAAAAGCAAAATGTGCAGCTCATCTTTGGAGCTTCTACGTCTCATCTTTGTCAAAGTATAACGCTTGATCTTTGGGAAATTATATGATAGGCTGTATCCATGGAGGAGTATCTTCGACCCACATCACCTATTCACCTTTAGAAGTGGAGGGTCTAGGTAGGTGTTCTATAGGCACAATAGTAAGTAGTTCAGAATTTTTACTGCTTGCTAGCTTCGAAAGAGCATCGACATGGGCATTTTCCACTCGCGACATTAGAGACAACTCGAACTTTTCAAAGGATGGAACAAATTTCATTACCAATTTCAAATATGTGGCCATGCTCATGTCACTGGTTGAGAAACTACCATTAACCTGGCTTACTACCAATTGGGAGTCACTAATGCTAATTAACCTCTTCACTTGTATCTCCCTAGTCAATCTTAGGCCAGTTAGAAGGGTCTCATATTCTGCTGAGTTGTTGGTAGCTTTAAATTCGAACCACACAGCACAATTAAACTTACGTTCTTTCAAGCTGACTAAGACCACTCCTGCTCCAAATCTTGTATATCTAGAAAAACCATCAACAAACAGGTTTTTGTTGGAAGGTTTGGCAGGTTCCATTTTTTCTCATATTTCTGAAATATGAGCGAACTCTGCCACAAAATTTGCTAAGGCTTAGCCTTTGATGTCAGCTTTTATCTTAAACACAATGTAAAACTCACTAAGTTCTATAACCCATTCATCATTCTTCCTAAAGCATCAGGCTTTTGGAACACTTGCTTGAGTAGGAAGTTGGTTAGCATTTGTATGGTGTGGGGCTGGAAGTATAACCTCAATTTTCGAGAGGTGGTCACCAAAGAGAGAGCCAACTTCTCAATGTTTGGATAGCAGGTTTCTACTACCAAAAGTGTTTTATTTACATAATAAACAGACAGCTGGTGATCACCCTCTTCCTTTATAAATACCAACATGATAGCATATGTGGCAGCTGTTAAGTATAGTTGTAAAGGCTCATCAATCTGATTCTTGGAGGAGGGGGAGAGCTTGTCCGAAATGTTTCTTCACCTCTTGTAAGGCTACTTTACACCCCTTAGTCAATTGGAACTTCTTTCCTCCCTTTAGAACCATGAAAAAAAGAAGGCACTTATCAGTCATTTTTGAGATAAAAAGGCTTAAACATCTATACACCTAGAGAGGCCCTACACTTTTTTAAGCTTCTAGGCCGAACTCATTTTGATCAAGGCTTTAATCTTTCCTGGACTAGTCTCTATGGCCTTTTCGTTAACATGTAGCGCAACAATTTCCTTGAGACAATTCTGAATGCAAACTTATGGAGGTTCACTTCATCCTGTACATTCGCAGCATTCGAAATGCTTTATCAAGGTGCTTCACATGATCCTTTAATTTCAAAATTTTCACAACATATCATCTATGTACACCTGCATTATCTTTCCAATAAGGTACGCGAACATCTTATTAACAAGTCTTTGATACATGGCACCAACGTTTTCTAACACAAAGGGCATCACCTTATAGCAATAAAGACCTATGTCCATTATGAAGGTTGTGTGCTCTTCATCAACTAGGTACATTGGTATTTGATTATAGCTTGAATAAGCATCCATGAAGCTCAGTTCGTGTCTGGCAGTAGAATCAACGATGTGATCTATTCATGGAAGTGGAAAACTATCTTTTGGGCAAAATTGGTTAAGATTGGAAAAATCTATGCATACCTTCCACTTGCCATAAGGACAGGATTCGATACCCACTTCGAATAAGTTGATTCTCAGATGAAACGATTGTCAATCAATTTCTTCACCTCATCCTTTAGGGTCTTATACATTTCTAGGTTTAGGGACCTCATTTTCTGTCGATGAGGGATAGCTTTATGATCAATCTTTAAGTGGTGACAACTAAACTTTGGGTCGATTCTAACCATGTCCTCATGTTTTCAAGCAAAGCTATCCAAATTTTCACATAAGATGCATTTCAGTTTTTCCTTAACCTCCATTAGTATGTCCTTTCCAACCTGTAGGGATTTGGAGAGATCCTAGGGATCTACTAGAAAACTTTCTAAACCTTTCACTAGATCGGTTTGAGGTTCACAATTAATGGTACGAGGATCCAGTTCATCAAATTAAGCCTCAACAGCTTTCCCTTTACAAGGGTTGTTATTACTTTAAAAATAGCATCTTCTTCATAAGCTTCTACCATTTCGATGCCTTCCTCTTGTTCTGGGATCTGCTCTTCTTTATGGGTTTCATTCATGTCAATGTCCATTAAAATTATATTGACATACCTAAGTTCGGCCTTCTTGAGGGAGCTCAAATAGCATTCTCTTGCACTCATTTGGTCAAATCTAAAACTGGCTATCCCATTTTTTGTAGGAAACTTCAAACACAAGCGGTAAATGGAAGTATGATAGGCAAAAATGGTTGTACACTCCCAAACACTCCATAAAATGATGAGTAGTCAATGGTGTTGTTCCCATCTCCACTACTAGAGTGATTTTTTTCCCTCGAAATGATGTTATCGCTAGTTAAGCCATACAAGAAGGTACTTATAGGGGTTAGCTCATGGCCCACTTCCATTTTGTCAAAGGATGCTCCAAATATAATATTAACCGAACTCTCATTATCCACTAACATTTTTTTAAGGTCATTTGGTGTTGCGAAGGTCCTTGCCACTACGGCGTCGCAATGTGGATAATGCAAGCTAACCGCATCGTCCTGTGTGAAATTAATAGGTTGAACCCCTTTCCCAGTTGAGGGTTGACTGCTATTAACTATGAAGCTTGCCATTGGGGGTCCTTGGCTTCAATTGCATAGTTCCTTTGTGCATTTATAGTTTCCTTCCAACATATGGACCTCCCAAGATTGTGTCAATCTCTCGAATAAGTTCGTGGCCAATATTAGCGAGAGTGCTTCTCATTTGCCTTTGACCTTTCCTAGGCCTTTCCCCATCATTTTCTTGTCTCCAAGAAGCATCGTTCAAATGAGACGCCTGACCTCAACCATCCTAGGTTGTTGATATTGCCTAGGAGGTGTATCTCTTCATGGGCGTCTATTTTTTCTTTGATTATTAGATTGAAAATGTAAGGCAATGTCTCTACAGTCAACTATATTATGGCTGTAAGAGTGATAGTAAGCGCAATAGAAGAGTATCTCATCCCTATTCCTAAGTTCAGAACTTTACCCTCCACCCCTTCCCTTTTGGGAAAATTGTTGGCTGGACCTTTCTTGGTATATCTCAACAGTGAGTTGACTTCATCATAAGTCAAAGTTGGTATCGCATTCAACGTCGTTGCAGCTAGTGCTTGCCCTAAGTTAAGGGTGGTTGACGGTTCCACCTGGTGTTAAATTAAATTGGAGGTGGGACCACTTCCTCATTGTCTCCTATGAAGTGGAAGTCCCTAGTTAGCCCTATTACGATGATCTTTCAACTCTTCATTGATGATTTTACACTTTATCATTTCCTGTAAGGTATCATAAACTGGTAAGATTCTTATTTTGTACGTCTCTCCAAAAGAGATAATTCATGTCGAATCCTCCCCTAAAGGGCTAATAGTTCTTTTTTATCGACAATTTGCACGCAGTAAGTCATTTAATTGGTAAAAAGAGATAAAAAGCCTTTCAATGACTCTCCCTATTGCTGTTGCCTTATGTCTTGGAGGCGTTGCATTGGCTATTCGCCTTCCTTGCTTGTTGGGAAGCGCTTAAGAATTCTTTTTATTTTTTTTTAAATCTGGCCAACTTCTGATATTTGTTTCTGGAAGCATTGTGTACCACACTTCAGCCACCCCACTTATGGTTAAGTAGAAGGCATTACATTTCACAATGGTACGCTCCTGTAGGTTTGAAGCTATTTAAGTGCTTCGCAGGATCACCTTTTCCACCGTCTTTCGAATTGAGGTAGCCGATACTGCTTATTTCTAGGTGTAAAGGAAGGTTAAGCCTACCTATTTCTAGGTCTTTCAGAGCTTAAACTGTCAAAGATGCTTATGGATATCTGAGGCATGTCTTTTGATTCGTAATTTGGAGGAAAGTTGAATTGAACCTCATTGGGTCAGTTAGTGGCATAGTTTGTAGATGTATCAACCTCAACTTCCTTCTCTTGAGGGATCTATCTCCTGGCGTAATGTTGACAATCAGCCATTTGGCTTTGTACCTCTTATTCGCTATGATAGTAATTCCCTTACGGAACTAGGAGAGGATCATGGAAAAGGCATCTCTTGAGTTGTGTAGAAGGGCTAGTTATCTTCCTTGGTCTTACATATTCCTAAGCAGCTTGTGCATGGTAATATTCTGTTGGGTAATATTCTGAGTGGGAAATTTTTCAATGGGGGATATAAACATGGCTATTAAAAATGCATCTTTCTACTCCATATACTCTATAGAAAAGTTCTTTCAACGAACGATAGTTAAGAGGCGTTGAACATTTGATTCAACTTTTCCCTAACATGCATACTCTTAATTAGATACGGTTACAAAATCTTTAAAAAAGCGCACAGATACAAAGGATCCCAACAAGAACATATTCTTAAGCAGATGAACAGATTTTTATTTTTTTTTTTTTAAAAAGAGCATTATCAACCAGTATAAAAAGCCTTCCCACCAGTCATTTGTATTGTATAAAGAAGTTTTCCAACTTTGGGTTAGCGTGACCTTCGAGCATCAGAAATACGTCGGGTTTGTAAAGAAAGATGGGAGCTAATATTTCGACTGAGTATGAAGCCAATGGATCAGCAATGAACAAGGGCCTTGTTGTTACATACAATGGATCATCAGCAAACAATAGTCGGGATATTGTATCCAATGGATCGTCATCAGCAAACAAGGGTCGGGTTCTTGCATTCCACTCCTCCTCGAAATGGAAGAGCCATTTTGAAGCCTCAAAAGTGAATTCAAATCTGGTAATCGTATAATTAAGCTTTTAGATGAAGTGGTCTAATATGATATCAGAGAGTAAGCATGAATCTCCCATTTATGAAAATTGTTCGTGTTAAATAAGTAAATGTGTCCACTCTCTCGCCTATATACCGACTTAAGCTTTTAGATGAATCTGCATGCTGGAAATGCTTCTCGACTTCTTTATGACTAGCTGATAATATTAATAATGGTTTTTACTTTCTTATTTCAGATGGTCATTGACTTCAAAGCTTCTTGGTGTGGACCTTCCCGATACATGGAACCTGCCATGAATGAATTTTCTGCTAAATATACAGATGTCCACTTCATTAAAATTGATGTCGATGAGTTGGAAGTACGATCATTTTCATTTGAATTAAGCTATTTGTACAATCAAGTTGTACAACTTGGTTTGACAACCTATGTTTTGAAAAGATCCATGTCATTGATTGCAAAAACAGTTTTTCAAATGAATGGATAAGATGGCTACCAACTCACTAGTTGTCAACCATGTTGTACAAGTAGCACAGTTGTTTTCATTTTTGCTTCGAAATTTAATTTTTTTCCCGTTTGATTTCAATTAATATTTATGATTAAAATGTATAAAATTGGAAACAGGATGTGGCTAAGGAATTTGGAATACAGATCATGCCCACTTTCATACTGATAAAGAAAGGAGAAGAAGTTGATAAGCTAGTTGGAGCCAACAAAGAAGAACTCAGGAAGAAGATTGAGAAACACAGGGTCTGATATAACCCTCACTCTAAAGCCTTGGCAAGTGGTTTTCCTACAATTCCTTTAGGTTTGATGATTGGTGATTAATTCATGTATTAGCTGGGTTTGTATTTGAAAATAAATATGCATGAATATTGTTAATTTTTTATGTCAGAATCCCACAATTTCTGTGGAAGTCATGGAATGTGAATTTATAAATATATTAAGCACTTCTTTATTATTCCAAGTAGAAATTAATTCATTTCTTGAGGAGCCTCGTTCTGGACGGAAACCTTGGAAGGATTATTTCCAAGTAGAAAAATGGTTCTATGGAATCATTAATCTAGGGTGGTTGAAGGCATGTCTTATGTGTAGCAATATCTAAACCATCTATACATGCTTCAATGATCCTAAAGGCAATATGGTTCAAATGCGGAATAAAACGGAACCGAAAAACATACCTTTCGCCATTGCTTCTCACACACGTTCAAGGATTCGGATTTAGGTGCTTCTAAACCTGACTCAACCTCAATTAGATGGCGTATTTTTGACTGTAGGAGATTGGAAGGCATAGGGACCCAACCGGTGGAAAAAACTGAATATAAGCTCTATCCATCATAGAGCGGTTCTCAACCGAACAAAAAATGTGGGAAAAGCAGTTGGAATGTTATTTTGAACATTACTCACGTCCCTGAGAGATGAAAAATGCGGACCACATTCAGATTCGATTTTGTAACTGAATTACCGAACTTCATGGGAAGGAAAAAAAAACATTATGGACTAATCTAAATTATTGTAAGTGAATTTGTAACTTAGAATCCAACAACTTATTAATCTTGCTTGCCCAAAACTGCAAAATTTATGAATTCGGGCATCACTAAGAAAAAATCTAAGGGTGCGTTTGATTGTAAGGGTGGAAAATGGATGGAAAGAAAATGATTTCCAGGGAAAATAATTGCCTAGAAAATGTTTTGCAGGGAATTGTTAATTATGTGTGTTTGATTGATATAATTTTCCACATGGAAAATTTTAAAATTTTGTATCTTTTTGTATTCGTTTGGCTTTGTTTTACATGAAAATTGTCCATTAAAGTAATAATTTTTTTCATAATTGGTTATAAAATTTGTTTCCATTGCCAAAAAATAAAAAATAAAAATTATGAAAAAAAATAAATTTACCATACCGAATATTATTCGTTTGATTTTGTTTTACATAAAAATTGTCAATAAAAGTGGGAAATTTTTTTACCATTATGTCTAGATTTTCTTCCAATTGCTAAAAAAAAAAAAGTAGAAAAAAAAAAGGAAAAGCTAGAAAATAAAAAACCAGCCAAACCCAAAGAAAATATTTTTCTCACACGTATGGAAGTAGGCGCGTCAGGGGGTAGGTGAGAAATCACTTTCTAGGGAAAATTGCACTCATCAAACACTACAAAAAGTTGGAAGTGGATAAACTTTTCCATTTTCCCTAGAAAATGAATCATATCAAGCACACCCTAAGAGATATTGGCCCTTGCACTCCATGCTATCATGTTTTTATGGATGTGTCTTCCAATATACAATGTTTCTTTCAAGATTAAAATAACACAATGGTGACCTTGTCGAGCGAACCACAATTTGATTGTACTCTTCTTGACTAGATGATTTTGAATACTAACAAATCTCTTAAAATTTTGAATATTAATTGCCGGATTTAGAACTCGAAATAATATGAAAATTTATTTTGAATTTAGAGAGAGAAAATTAACTATAGTTCAACTTTTTTAAGATGAAAGAAATTATGAAATTAAGCCCTCGTTTTTATCTCCATTATTTTTAAAATACAATTTTCTCTCTTTTTTT